TTTAAATGGAAAAAACTAAAACAAGCTGCGCAGACTATTTAAAACGTTAAAACAAAAATAGAAGATAAACCTCATTTTGAAAACGTTATTACTCTCATTAAAATATAATAACATTGATATGAACCTACCTTTGATTAACACAATCAATATTAGAAAGAAAAATGGGAAAACGTAATTACTTGTACAAGAATATAACATCAATATGAACCTTCCTTTGATTAACACCATTTACATGAAAACAACTAGATAAACAAACCTGACATATGTCATTACTCCAATATTAGCAATGTGCACCTTCAATCCCTGCCAGTTACTTTGTACCACCAGTTTATCGTTTTCAGTCAGGTTTGGAATATTTTCATTCTGTTTATCACCAGCTTTGTCATTAATCGACATCTTATTACAACCTTTGATATTAATACATCCCATTTCACAGACAATAACGTAAAATATGAACGTTCCACTTTTAATTTATCTAACAAGGAGCCATGAGTATACTAATTTTAAGATACCCCTTAGATTTATCAAAATATTGAGATACTTATATACAAAATAAAGAATCTCGATCTGTATATTTTATATGTATATCTAGATTATTAAATTCCTACTCTTTTCTGTAAAAGAAACTGACTCTGTGTGATAAAAGAAGTAAGTATAGCACAAATGCATCTAATGTTTTTCTTTGTGCCACAAATATTGATAAAAATACGTTAACCGATGCTGAAATTTCGCACGGTGCTCATATTAACATATTTAACACAGATAAGAGCATGTACAAACATATCACATTTACTATATTGATCGAGTGTATATTTGTGATGTAACCAATTTTTAAGAATTGAACGCTTCCGATATGTTCTGAACGATATATATAGGACTTGACGTTGGCCACATGTAATATTGATAAATTTGTAATACTTAAATATGAAATTGTACACATTTATGTCAAAATGTTAAGTTATTTTTATTCTTATATATTCTGGTCACTGATTCTTTACAATAAGATTGGTATAATGTCACTTTAACATTTGGGGCTTTTTATTGTTTTCATATCTTTTGAGTCAAAAATGTTTTAATGATTATGGCTATTTTCCCATTAGTTTATACAAATATATTTAGTTTATATTGGAAGCTATAAGCGTATTATGGAAGCTATAAGTGTATTATGGAAGCTATAAGCGTATCATGGAAGCTATAAGCGTATTGAAACACTCTTGAATCTGCTCCTGGACGAAACCAGTTCAGAGCAATGTGTGTAAAGATTCTTGCTCACGGAGGTGAAGAAGTTTCAACCCACGCTGTCAGCATTCTGTAGATTACAAGTCCGATGCGTTAACCACTCGGCCACGCCGCCACTCTTTTTCTTACAAATACATGTATATTTATATGTGATAGAATTAATACGTTGATTTGTAAAATGATAGTGGACGGTATTGTTGTAGTTATTATTATAAACATAGTATGGTCAGAAAATGCACAAATTGACCAAATCAGTTTTTATTTAAATTCTCTGTAATTGAAGTAGAAGTAGATTCAAACTTATTTATGATTGATAACGAAAATTATAATTATGTCAAAATTGTACGTTTGTTGTGTTACTCAGCTATTGTAGATAATATAGATTAATCACTACGCCACGGAGTTTAATTTTGTTCCTTTACACTTATGAAATAAGAGTTTTTTAAGTGAAAAATAGACATGCAGCTTTACAATTTTCTCTGCCTTTTATACATAGCACACATATACAATCGTAATACCTGAGACACACCTAGCAACGCGTTAATTCAAAACAACACTTAGTTACATGCAATACAAATATTCAGGGGAATGTGGTTAATATGAGTTATTTGAACTTATAGTTGAGTCGTTGATATTACATATATATGCAATTCAATAATTTTGAAAAATAATTTTTGACATGAACAAAACTCCAATGAAAATTATCTCCATATTTTGTAATATAGTTGTTTCGATTGATGCCACTGTCTTCATAACATAGGAATCCATGTTCGCAATACAAAAAGATTACATTATGGTTGTGTCATTGAATAATATATACATTATAGAAGATACAATTGGCAATCTACAGAAAATGAATGTTTGTCGCATATTGATATTGCAGATGGTAACATTGTATTTAGATAAGGCTATATGTGGTTACGATTATTTAGATATATACCATCAACAATATGTAATAATATGAGATGTTACAGCAAAGTCAGATTATTGATGATTATGCTATTTCTTTTACAATTAGTATATTGAGCTCAACTTTCAAAAACCGTTTTCGATCTCATTATAATAATGAGTTTTAGTTTCAATTATTCAAGGCGTATACACCAATAATGCAGACACACATAACAACGGCTTTTAAATTTACTTAAGGCAGTAGATACTCATCATAAATTGTCAATTCTTTTTACTGAAATTGTGTATTTATACAATAAATATGCACATGAATGGCTGAACAATTATTTCGTACCAGTGTTTCAGGAATAATAATAAAGTAAGGCGACAATGATGCTTTACCAGTGTTTTGTTTTCTCTCCTTGTACATCAAATACAATGTATTAATAATAATGATAACGGAAACATAATATTGATCTTTAGCATTTACTTAATGAAATCGTATTGTTTAACAACTTAAATGACGATGTTATTACGTTATTAAATGTACACGGCTTATTTTGGAAGTGTGTTTTTCAGTAAAATTTGTACTTAGATTTTACAAAATAATTATAACACTTAATGATTTGTATACTATAAATGTAAGGTACATGCTAAATTAATGGTGATACCCAGTTTGAATATCAATTCGAAAATTAAATGAAAAAAAACATGAAAAAAAAATAGTATACTAATAGATAAAAACGACAATAAAGTTAAAAAAAACTATGTATCATTGTTATATTTTTCCGAATCTGTCAAAAAGCCTTATTTCTTGTCTATCTAATGAACTAAAAAATAAACCACCTGCCAGGAGCGATGGTTAGGAAACTGCCCGCCTATATGACTGAAATACTGCTGGAAAAAGGAGTAAAATGATACAAACAAACAAACAAAGCTTTATGATGTTTTACAATGAAATGTATTTTATTACTTTTAATGAATCATTAAAACCCTATATGAAATATATCAATCATAGTAAACGGTCGACAAATATTCACTCAAAGTCTTAAAGTGTCTAAAACTTGATATACTAGGTCAAATGTTATAAATATACAAACCATACGTACGTCAAAATTTAATTGTTACCAATGTGTAACTTATATAAAACATTACCATTTATTGCATAAAACACCCCTTCCAGTTGTATCAAGTATATAAAAAAATATTCTTACGATTCAAACCGACTCTTTCATTAGTCAAATAACCTTATCGTAACTTGACATTGGTACAACCCATTTCACTCCCATTTATTTCACAAATTTTAATATATCTACCAAACAATGTTGAGTTACATAGATTTCCATACATATTCCAAGATGGAAATAGTAATATATCTTACGCTTAGCGTTAAAGTATTATTAAGTTTTAACTTATTATTAGGCTGTTTTCGATGTAAATGATATGGTTTCGTTCTTAATCTTAAAATACTCTCTTATAGTAAAACGTAATGACTTGCTACAGCGGAATATATTTATTTCCATGCGTAAGTAATTTACAATACTTATAACACGTAAAGAGATGTTGAAGTATTTAAAACCTTTATTAACGTGCACGAAATTCATTTTAATATAAACCGTACATGAAATTTGTTATAATTTATTATTTCTGTCAAATAGAATACCACGTTTGTTAAAAAATACAAAGAAAAGCTGACTGAAAGTCAAACAAATGTAATTAAAATACAAATATTTAAAAAAAATATTGACATTATTTACATTATTAAAGACATTTTAAAATGTAGGAGTGTATCTTGTAATTGCATTTAGCAAAGGTTTTACATAATGCATGTTTTTATAAATAAGATAATTCAAATAAAGAATTATGCCTGTATCAATTGCAAATATATTTCAATTTTTTAAACAACAAAAAAAAAGGTTATTTGTATGTATATGTATAATCCAGCTGATGGAGATAGTTGTACAGTTTATAATAATAATAATAATAATAATAATAACAATAATAATAATAATAATAATAATAATAATAACAATAATAATAATAATATTTATATACAAACCTAACATATATCATAACTCCAATGTTAGCAATGTGTACTTTCGATCCTTGCCAGTTGTTTTGTATCATCATTTTATCATTTGCAGTGAAATATGGAATGTTTTTATTTTGCTTTTTACTAGCCCTATCATGTATCAACATCTTATCGCCACTTTTGAAACTGATGCATCCCATTTCGCTTACAATATCAGATATAAAGACTGTCAACCTTTAATTCCTACTGAAATGCCAAGTAAAGAGAAAACGATTGATTCCGAAAGACAGTCAAAACTTCTCCAGCGATTGAAATACAAATCTATTATGAAATTTATTAATATGTTTTAATTTAAAATTAGATTCCACTTTCGAGGAAATCTCCCTCCGTTATGAAATCTATCCAGTTTTTAAATGGAACACACTTTATGTCATACAAAACTATTTGTTTCTTAAACAAGTACAACTAATGTATCTAGTATGTTCCTCTTAATTGTCTACAATAATGATACAATTGAGATATAATCAGATATAGAGACATGTCATAGTGCTCTTATTAACATATTTATAAAGTGCACAATTCGGTACATCACAGATATTGAGATAAGTCACATTAATCTTATTTACATATAGACCCAATTTACGAATAGTACAAGCAGGAATATTCCAACATCGATCGAGTCAGATATTAGTGATGCTATTAAATTCGTTTAATTAAGTCGGGAGCAAGCAACAGTGAAAAGTACAATAACAAAATAAACGATAATGACGTGTTAATATTTAACACATTAGTCAAAAATCAAATAAAATTCTTAATATCTTTTACTGCTGTCTAACTTAAAAATTGCAATTCTAATATCACCTCTTTACAATAAATGCTAGTAATTTTAATATACAATATGCAAATCACTTTTTAACACTCATGCTATTATTTCAAATATATAATACGCGAATCGTTGTTGATGCAAGTCTTTTCAAATGTATTTTCTAAACATTCACACTTAAAAATGATTGTTCACACTATCTTCGTGCTTCTGTTGCATGCCACGTTGAATATAATACACTATAAACGACAGAAAGTTTGCCCACGCCCTTTGTATTTCTTCACACCACTTGCCCTGGCTATACGGCTTCATTGCACAAAGAAAATGTGGTAATATTACCTGTAATTACAATACAAACTCAATTAAGTTAAATTCAATTCAAGTCACATCAGAGTGCAATGGTTTTAATCTTTTTCCTTTACTTGCCTTTCGTAATATGAAATCTTTGACAATAGTTCTAAATTAAATAAATAATACGTTTACTTTTTTAGTATATATAGTTTTACTATTTCAAATACAATATTGTGTTGAAAACAATTTTGCAACAATTTTGAATTTGATTTCGAAATCTTATCATAACCAGATTAAAATAAATATAGATAAATAATAAATAATTGTCAGCAATTGTCGTCGGTTTTATTAAAGATCAGGGCTTTAAAATACGTCTCTTAGCAACGATTACAATTGACAATTTAGCATGCTTTTCTTTCTTTCTTACTCATTTTCTGCATTTCATTTTAATGATAACATTTACCTGTATATCAATAGAACGAACATTGTTCTGTCTGTGATAATGGCCTACTTCCCTTAAAATATGAATCAATTTGACATGCTCGTTGATACACGTGACACATTTATCTATGGTTGCCATTACTCGGAGTGCATGCTTCTGAAGCAACCCGGATTCTTGTAATTTGTACACATCTTTCCCTTCAAATTTCGAAAACGTATTGATAAGTTCAGGACGGCTCTCAAACAAACTGTAAAATAAATCAAAATATATGAGACATAATAAATGCTAGATTTAATTTTGTATTGAATAAATATTACTTGAATATTTAAATCTGACAGCGTGCTTTGCTCAAAAGTAGAAAGTCAGGGGTCGTTTGTTTGGGATTTTTTCCCGTGACAAATGATGTGGAACATTGAGTCTAATTGTTATTTTCCTCTCAACACTGATTCACCAATCATGAGGGATAAGTAGCCGGTCAATTACGAAGAAATTGGTTATTATTGATTAGTTACGTGGAAAGTCGGTTAGGTTTATCGACAAGTCGGGATATGAGCAAACATGTAGTAAGGTCGGTGTAAATACAAACAAATTATTCATCCATTTGCTCAAGATAATAATTTTCTGTAATATATTATAATAACCGATGATGTACTACTAACAAGCACTCACCTCACAATACATGTTTCATCATTATCATTTTAACACACGTCAATTATAAATCAAAGCATTATAATACTTAATAAAATATATAGACTATTGAAAAAATGTGTTTATTTTTCTTTAGGTTTTGTTGTTATAATTGATAGCTCAGAGAATTCGTTTCCGTACTTATCTGTCATTGCATTTGATTGCCTTTCTTATATCTACGGCCGATAAGTTGTATAATCAGTTTTTTAAAGCTTATACATGAAATGCAGAAAACCTAAGTACTGCTTACTTTGTTAGTGAATTATCTGCCCTTGAAAGTATAATTTGGTTTCAAATTCTAGGGCTAATAACACGAAAATGAGCTGAGTTACTCTTTTTATTCCACTTGTGATGGGTCTTTTAGCATATTTTATAAATTAGTTTAGTTAAATTCTACAATACAGTTTCTATTTTGCCAATATAATTATGTTTATTTAAAACACTAACGTATGCCTTGAAAAATGAATAAAAATGCATAAGACAAAGCTGATATAAAATCTGACAAGAATGCTTATCAAGCATATATTAAGTGAATAATGCTTAAGATGCATGCAATACAACAGACTTTGCTCCATACAGTCGTAGACATTTAAAGCAGCATGTCTCTAGATTTATGTTATTTGTCTTGAAAAGTTTGAAATTAGCTTTAAAAAAGATATTGTGAACTGAACAAATATACTGATTTAAAAATTGTAAACTTCCCTTACACTCCACGTAAATCACCTAAAAATAGGATCAAAGTAGGTAAACATAGCCCTTACTGCGTTAGTCACGTAGTACAAATATGGTGATAAGTACAACAAAACAAGAAATTCATCGCAAATAACAGGAAAGTTATCACTTGAATTTTTATACTCTCTTTAAATTTAAGTATATTTAAAAAAAATATTTTGGCTCATTCGGAAGCATTAAGCTTTTAAGTAAGCATATTCAATGTCATCGAAAACATCAGATAACGGTCTTATAACACTTATTATAATAAATGATAATAAATTTAACATACTGTTGCTATCTATCTTTAAATTTATAATGTTTTATCATTTCTTCTTCACAGACATGCAATTACTTTTTGTTATTACAAGGTAGTTAAGTTTTAAATCTCGTTCAATATAATGATATCATAGTGATATTTGTATCATCTCTTCGTGTACTTTTATTCTTTGTTGCAGAGATTTGTGACATAATTATAAATCGATATTATAATTGTTACATGTACGTTCATCATATCGTGCTGAAAAGAATTAACACATCCGCCATGTATTGTATTACAAGCTATGTGTTGGTTTTTTTCAGATCATTATATTGTTGTAGCAAAATATTGGTTAAAATGTTTACGATAAAATGTATGTACCCCTGTTACCTTTAATGTTGAACAAAATAATGAAATATTATATAAGAAAAAAAATGAAGTAATATAAATAAATCAATAATGATAAAGATAAAATTAATATATTAAAAATATAAAAGCGTCACAGGAAATAAAAAATAACGCAAATTAAATCTTAAACAAAATAAAAATATACATAACTTCAGAATGCTTTACGTGTTTTACGTTCTTTTCTCACATACCTCTTTTCTGCCATAAATAACGGATGTAATAAATTCATAAAATACAAAAATGTACCAACCTTACGTACGTTATTACTCCAATGTTTGCAATATGCAATTTCAAAGTCTGCCAATTGTTTTGAATGATCATTTTCTCTGCTTCACTGACTATCGGGGCGTTTTTCTCGTAGTCATTACGGTCCCTGTCGCGAACAATTGCCTTGTCCTCATTTATACTAACATTACATCCCATTCTTGAAACAAGTTTATCTGTATCATTTATCATACAAATTCAAAATAAATTAAATCGATCAAATAATTTATCAAATTCTGTTTATCAACTCACTCAAAATTTGTTCAACATTTATAAGCGTTTATTTTAAATGTTTTCTCCGATTTTAATAACTAGTTGTATAAATGTCGCTACAATGAATTATTCTAAACGTCTGTTTGCTTGCCTGTTATCAAATCATTTTCTTTCTTAATGGAAAAAATAATAATCTGCGCAGTAATAATCGATGTTTTCCTTAGACAGTATGTCCGCATATCTTGCAATATCCGTATTCAATCATATAAAATACCGGCGAAATGCGTGACGGTAAGACCATTCACCTGGTAGACCATATCAATGAAAAGTATGAGCAGATATTCAATAAATTGCAACATCGGCGCTAGAGCACATTTTTATAATAATGCAATTCATTTAAAATCCTTGAATTCTAAAGTACTGACAGAAGCGGATTACAGATAAATGAATTTAAAATTCTACTGAGACAGCACTGAAGGTAAAAATACGCATGCATAACTATTTGTTGGTAATATAAGGGTCAAACATTTGTAATGTAGAGTTTCTCAACACAAATGTCATTTACCTAATCGGTAAGTCTCTTGAAATTTTGTCATTACTGTAAATGAGTAAAGAACAGTCATTCTGCGTATAGAAACTTTATCTTTAAACATACATAGATGACAGGTGTCTTTGCTTCACTTTGCAATCATAATACACATACAAGACGCCAGGTCTTGAACATAGTTTTTAATAACAGAAATTGAAATTCAAATGCCCATAGAGCCAAGCCCATGCTGATGCTTAAGGTTTTTGATATTTGTTTATCACTTTCTCTATCTTCTTTGTCACATTTGAGACCATTCGCTGACACAATTTTCCCAATGATAATAAGATTTTTATTATGCAAATTTCGATAAAATGGCCCAAAAGTAAAAAGAGGTTGAACGCTTTTCACTAAACCCGGGCGGGCTTAGAACCGCACTAAAATCGTGTGTAAATTAATTGTAAGTATATCTTTTTATTAAATTAACTTCTGTATAATTGTCCTTTAAGCTTATATTGAAGTAAATATTGTTTGATCTCATTTGAACTCATTTGTAGTTTAAATGATGTATCGAAAAGCATTACCTTTGATACCAAAAGCAGCACTGGCTGTCCATCCTTTATTGATTATAACAGTTTCAACAACTTTTCCCATTGTTCTCAATATAATGATAATATCAAATACGTGGAAAATGCCAGATATTTACACAAAACAAGGACATGAAAAAAGTAAATTTGTTTTCCTCTTTGGCATATTTGTACATAATACTCTGGTTGCTAAATGGGATATATTATAATATTACAGAGATTGAAGACGAATTTCACTTTATTAATATACGAGTATATCATTGTTATTCAAATAATTAAGAAATATTTTTTTAAACGTTTTAATTATCATGTCTACCCATCTGTGTTTTAAGTCCATGATTTCCTGACTTTCAAGTAAAAACGAGTGACGAGTGTTAAATTGTGCAAATACTTTAAAGTAACATTTGTAATTTGAAATTCATAAATAAATAACATGACATGATGCGTTAGTATTTATCATTTTATTGTCATTGTTCTATGTACTCGTATAACATGTAAATTTATGTTAAAATGTGTATGATTAAACTTTTGTACTATGTTCTAGATATTGCACATGATTATCATTCATGTTTATGTAATAAGATGAGATACTTATGTATAAGTAAAATAAAATGTATGATCTGTTCTCTTAAAAATATGTGTAAAACAAAAAAAAGGTTAAATACTTTTAATAATATTATCATATGATTGATTGATTATTTGATCGATCGACCGACCGATTGATTTTAACTGGTTAATTTTAGATTGAATGAAAATCCTAACAACTAAGAATTGATAACATAGTCACCATACCAGTGCTCAACCAGTTTTTCACAAAATCACATAAAATCTCTTTCAGAACAAAAAGTTTGCTGGGAAACTTACTTTTGTTACAAAGCTGGCCCTTTCAGACTCACAATAAGCTTAAGCATTTTAACGACACAGATCAGGATACAATTTACCACAGAGTAGTATATAGGGTATAAAATCACTATATTTTTCAGACAACCAAACCAGTGCTCGACCAGGTAGTTTTATCTCTATCAGAATTTTTATTTTTTAAAAACAGATATGACTTTTTATGTTCAACAATTCTATTTCAAAAATATTTTGAAAATTTTTGTTTTAGTGTCTATAGATGTAAATATGAGAGTAAATATGATACGAAGGAAATGCTAATACATTGACATATAAAGTGTTTATAAGAGTTTTGGAATTTACATATACTGGGGTGTTTGAGATTACTTATTCTCATATTTCTTTACTAAAATCACTCTGCAAACATAGTTAAGTGTGATATTTGGTGTAATATACAAATGGTCTACGCTTTTAGTGGTGTGTTCCCGATTTGTTTCCGTACAGCTGCCATATTTGTTTACATGTTCATAGCCCCTGCCTTTTATGGAAAGCTGGGTTTTGATGATTTTTGGGCGCCTTTCCTATGAAAATTAATTGGAAGCATAAGAGTAAAGGCAATTAAACAAAGTATTGTCCACATTTGCCCTAAATTATCAATATTTCAGTGTTTTAAATACTTCTTACTGCTACTTTTATTATTATAGAATTTTATTTTTGTACTATTTAATATTGTCTGCAAGATGGCCAATCTTCTACAAAACTTGGAGTACTTGCACATGGTATTGAGGTTACAGGTCAGGTACAAAAAGCACACAAAAAACTCTCAGGGGTTTTCCACTTTAATGCTTCAATCGTACACATAAAGATGTATTGGTCGAGCACTGGGCTGGTCGAGCACCACAGGTACTATGACTCTAATAATATTAAATATACCCTTTCATTATGTGTAAATTTGGTAACAATTGTTGCCTTTAAACAGTTTGTCATATTTTAGAAGACATATGACTAACAAAACCACAAACAAAAAAGGAATTTTTAACAGTTGTTCATAAATTGAAGCATCAAGACCAAGTTTCCCTAGCATTTATATCTTTCAGGCCATGATAATATGTGTTCTAAAAATTATATTGATTTTGGAAAGTCTATAGTGTGGAACATTGAAGTCAAATAATTTCTCTGGCTTGTCTAAAGTGATTACCAGACACATTTGTTACTTTATAATTTTGCTAACGTTAATAGTAGACATTGCATCAATCATTTCCACAATTTCTTCTCATAAAATGGCCTTTTTGTAATGATGTCCTAATAAAGAATAAATAAGGACAATATTATTATAAATCAATCGTTCTGATTGGCAAAATTCCTCCAGCAAAATAAGGTTTCTGATCTTGATCAATATTTTTTTATTTCAGAGTAATTGTGTAAAAATCGTTCTTGACATAGATTTGAAACTAACAAATTGACAGAAGGTGTTCATCATTGGTCTTAAAGCTGCACTTATAAGATTTGAGGTTTCGAACAGGATCAGTCACGCCGACCCTTCAATACGATTTTCAATTTTGCAGTTTTAGGCGTTCTATAGGGATTCCGTTTAAATCTATTTTAGAATGTTTCCATAGAAGCTTTCTCAAAATTTGTTATTGTATGTCAAAACAGAATAAATATTATAGAAGGAAAGATAAATAGTATATGAACATACTTCACAAAAACACAATCGCCTCCCTTAAAGTTAAGTATTTACTGGGTAAAGAGTGGTAGAGTGACCAAGTGGTTAACGCGTGGGACAAGTAATCAAAGTATTGCTCAAACACCCGGAGAAGCAAGGCGTTGTTTACGTGAGGTTAAATTTTAGACTTATTACTTAGTATTGTTAAGTTCAAGGAACGAATGAGTGTGCTTCAAGTAGGTTATAGCTTCAAACAAATCGGACTGAAATATATTCGTAAAAAACTAATATTGGGCTGACATATTTCTAGTACCGTAACTATTACGTACATGAGAATAACAAAACAAAATTATTTTGCTTCATCTGAAGCATTTAAATGACTTTCATTTGTTAGGAACAAAAAATTCAATGAGGGTGAAATGGGGTCTCATACTTTCAAATATTTGGAAAGGGATCTGGTTTTATATACTATTTCAAATTATTATCTTTTGGGACATGTTTTGCTTTATGAAGATTATTTTTGAAATATGCCAATTCTTTTCTTCCAAAGTTTATTATAAAGGTAATAAATGACTTTGCACGTGATAAATAAACAAAAACTGCAAATTTGTTCCTTATATTTTTATTTTACATATATTAAACTTTTTTGGCTTTTATATATCTATTTAATATCAAAACGTTTAAGAATAAAGGACAGAAAATTTGTAAACACATTGATTGCTATTTTATCCCTGTGTACCCTCTATAATACCAGAATTTGCCTTAGTTTATTGTGTTTTTTTTATTTTTCAACCTAAATCTGGATTTATCAGCGGGCTGTCAAGTACGATAAAACTTTTAATTCAGCTATAACATGTAGGTAACTTATTGTATGTTTCTTCTAAAGAAATTAGATCGTTAATCATCATCATAGTAAATTTTTTATTTCATAAATAGTTATGACTTTGTATATTTTAAATTAATGTAGAATTGTTAAAGATATTTCTTGTTAAACATTATTTGTTCCTTCAATGAATAATCATTGACAAAAAGGCTAAACTTTATTACTTAATTTTGGTAATCGCTATAATTTCACGATCCGTATCGCTAAACAATTTGAAAAAAGAATTTAATTGATAACAACTTATTAAAACCAATTTTATATGCATTCGTCTTACTTGTTGTTCATTTTGGTTTTCATGCTTTTTTCATTGATGTTTGGATAAATTGCGCATGCGTTTGCCTTTTGTTGTAAATTGTTGTCTCAGAAATTGAAACCGTCCTGAATTGTGAAATGATAATTTATCATAGCCGGATCAGCTTACTATCCATGACAGAATACTTTCATCTTGACTAC